AAGATGCGCGTTTGGCGACACCAACGAGAGCTCGAGCTGGAATCCAAAGAAGGAAAAATTGACGAAGTCATTCACATGAACGTTATGAAGCGCAACAAGCCGTCAACGTAGGGGCCAAAAAAAGTCCGCGCGCTGGAAAAAGGTTTCGTAGTTCGCTTCCTTTGGTGCGCAAGCAATGACTCTTTCATTGGATTACGTCTTCACAGTTTTCACAAACCCACTACAGCAACAACAACAAAAAACCCAACGCGTCGCTATTAATTCAAAGGTGTTTACGTCGGCTTTCTCTTTATTGGTTCAGCAACATTGCTCGGAAGAACGAAACGAATACCAGTGTTGACAAGTTCGCATTTCTCTCTCCGTAGACGTTTCAATTTGCTGGGGGCTAGAGCTGTTTTGGACAATAGCGGCACTATCACCCGTTGTCGCCTCGCGCCCGAGCTTTCCACATCAGAACGAAACTTCACTCGACTCATGACCAACGCAGACGATGCGAAACCGCCACTTAATGAAACTCTTCCTTGTAGTGTCGCGCGCTCGTTCGAGGAAATATGGCAAAAACCATTTACGCCGTACATCTGTCCTCCTCTGTGTTGCACTGCGCTCCTCTCCCTTCCTTTTTTTCTTTGGTGAAGCGGAGACGAAGTCTGCGTGTTTTATTCCGACTCAGCAGCAACTCCCCTCTTTACCTTTCCTTGCGTAAGCGTGAACACCACTCGTTTGTGGCCCACTATGGTACTTGTTAGAACTGCCGTCATTGTGACGATCGCCGTTGTCTGCGCTGTCACGGCGTACGGCGAAAACGCAGTGGGACTGGACAGCGGCATTTGGGATGTGAGGACACTCGTGCCCGGCAGAGGTTCCATCCCGCCATCTCATGAGTTGCACGTCGAGTCTGATCGGTGGGCGCTGCGCGAGCGCAACTTCTCACGCATGCGTCAGCTGCTGGATTCTACCGCCGCGAAACTGGGTGTGATTTATACCGCCGTTCCAAGCTCGGAGACGAAGCTGTGCCGCGCTACGCCGTCGCTTAGGTTCGAGTGGGCCGCAACGCGCAGCGACGACGGCTTCTCTGTTGACTGCCTCTCCGTGGACTGGTTTACTGCGGCGTCGCTGCACAAGTTCGCGGGTGAGGGGTCTTTTCACAGTCACTTCGACCGGCCAAAGCCGCTGTCGGTGGGATGGAGCGGAGCGTGCGTCGCTACATCGTGGAGCCTTCGGGATATCTTCTTTGCGAAGGTGGCGGGGGGAGGCGTCATCGTATCTGCCACTCTCACGGACAACTCGAACGGTACGCCGGTGCCGTGTAAGGCGTTTTTTGAGGTGACTCGACGGCCGACGGCGGCCGCCGCAGAGAAGTCGTTGTCTTCGAGCGTATACGTGCCCATCGCGATGCTGTTGGTCGTGATCGCGATGCGTCTGCTTCCACGGTACATCCTCACCCGCAATGGTCAGATCGACCCGTCCAGCTACCGTGGGCAGAACCCAGCGAATTTATCGTCGGCGCACCGTGCGGAACTGTTGCAAAAGCAGCGACGGATCATTGAGCAGATGAAAGCGGAGGACCGTGCAAATGCGCCAAAGGAGAAGACAAGCTAGTCCGAACGATGCGCTGCTAGTGCACCGTTGTTAGAATTTTATTCGCGATAACATGTCTCGTTCCAAAGAACTTATTGCTTTTAGGAGCTGCCGTTGGCACACAGGTTTGAAGGCTTTAGGTTTTTTTTTTAGATACTGCAACGTTGTGGCGTCACTCCGCTGCCCGTGATGGAGCTGTCCAACCGGCAGAAACGACAATGTGCATGATTGCCACACACCTAGAAAGATAAAAGGAGGAAATTGTGAAGCGAACAACATCAACTGTGGGGAGGGGGGAGGGGGTGAAGAAGGCGTTGTTTTGACTTCTCTTTAACAGACTTAGGCCTCTTGTGTCTCTTGGACGTCGTTTTCAGAATCCAACGTGCAGCTGCTACGAGTCTCACGAAGGGAGCACCTACTCCTGGGTGTTAGAGGCTCTTCTATTTGCTCATGTGAACATTTGTACATCATCAGTTCTACTGGAACGAGGACCCACAACGTTATCTTCTGTTCTCAACACCTGCTTTTTGTTTCTTACATGCACGATCCGATCGCATTCTACGTGTGTGCGCATCCTTAGCAGGAACGCACAGGCACACAGTTTCCTCCTCCGTTGGAGACATGCGACGCGCAAATGAAACTCGTCAGCTTAAAAGCGTCCAACGTGTACGCCGAAGAGAAGGACGATGCCACAAACACGATCGACTTCACAAAGATGATAGGGGTGGAGCATCACCTGCAGCGCGAGCTGGTCCGGCCAACACCATCCCTAACAGGATGCGCACCACCCCGCCACGCCGACATGGGCATGGGCTTGTACCGCTTCTCCAACGCCACAAATCCGGTTTTTATCTTCGTCAGCGCCGATGACCGCAGCAGTGTGTGCGCGCGCTTCTTTTGCACCCGTTTTGTGCACTACTTCCGCTGGAAAGGCGAAAGCATTCAGTTCTACGTCGCGTCTGCGAACTTTCATGACCACAAACCAGCCTGCTTTGACGCGCAACGGGAGGCGTGGCGGGAGCACAATCGGCGATGCATCGATGCTGCCGTAAACTACTTCACCTCTGACCCGAAGCTGGGTTTTGTGGCGACGCCGGTGGCCTTTATTTACACCGACTGCAGAGCAAAGAGCACGCGGGAGGAGATATTGAAGCTGCTCCCGCACGACCGCCCCTTTCTCATCCGCTGGCTTTACTTTGCCGAGGACTGGGACACGGCGGATGAGGAAATGGATCGACGCATCATGGTCAGCCTGCAGCGCCAGGCGTTGCGTGTGTCGCGGTGCAGCGGCAGCGTCGTCTGCTCCGACATGGCGAGCTTCCTGAACGCGATGCTGCCTGTCTTGTATCAGCTGTACACGAAGGAGCCGGTCGACGGGGCACCGAGCGAGACTCTCCGCTCGTTTCCTCCTGTCTTCTTCACGCGACACGGTCAATCGGAGTACAACGTAGAGGACCGCCTAGGCGGCAATTCGGATCTCACAGATACCGGTCGAGAAGACGCGGAGGCCATCGCGTACTTCTTCGAACACGAGGTGCGCACGAATGAGCGGCTGTTCGCGGACCGCAGCGTGTCTTGGGGAGAGAACGCCGCGTTTGAGGTGTGGTGCAGCCAGCTGCGGCGCACGCAGAGCACAGCGCAGCCGACGGCGAACATTCTCACTGAGGGGGTGCTGAAGACGTTGAAGTCACTTAACGAGATACACGCCGGCATTTGCGAGGACATGACAAACGATGAGATCAAACTGCTCTACCCTTTTATCCAATCCTTCCGTCACATGGACAAGGTTGGCTTTCGCTACCCCGACGGCGAATCCTACGTTGACCTGGTGCGCCGCCTCACGCCGCTGCTAATCGACTTGAACAACTGCACCAAGTGTGTGGTGGTCGTGGCACATCAGGCTGTCCTGCGCACCGTGCTCTCTTTCTTTGGTGGTCGACCGGTCGAGGAGGCGGTGCACGTGCCGTGCCCTCAGCGCACGGTGTGGGTCTGCACCACGAATCGCCTCGGCGAACCTCAGCTCGCAGAGATCACGCTATCGCGCCGTCGAAAAGACGAAGGGGAGACGCAGGCGAGGTGGGAGGGGTGGTGAGCGCATTCGATTCAGTTCAGCGGAGAACAAGCACCCAATATTTGTCTCATCTTTTTTTTTATTTGCTGCTTACATATTTTTCGGAGAGGAGGCAAGCCAAATTGCTCATGACGACAACATCCAAAAAAGAGGACGCGGACCCTCACCACCTGTGGTCTTCACCCACCTAGTATCCGCAACCCTATCGTAAGAAAATAATTATTGGCACGTTAAGTGTGACAGCAAATGCTCTAGCGCACGCTTCCGAGCCTACAGCGGCGCGTGGGCCCCTCAGATGCAGCTCCGCAATGGTGAAGCAGGTGTGACTAGGCGAAACACTTTTCGTTGTTGTTCTACAGTGGGCGTAGGAGGGCGTGCAGAGACTGCGTGTCTTCGTTGCGTTTTTTTTTTCTCATGGAGTCCTCAGAAGGGAAGCACGAGCAGGGCGGCGACTGCGTGCGTTGATGTATCATATATCCGTAGTTTGGGCTTGCATGATTGACCGACGGGCTTTTACTATCGATTCCAGCTGCTCTTCAAGTTCCGTCGAAACAGGAAGAAAACGGAACACATTAGAGAAAACAAAACTTTTAACCCTTGTAGCTGCGTGTGCTGAATAGAGACACCAAGTCACCGGATGCTTTTGTATGAACTGCCAAAGGTGTTAGCCGTTGGCTGATGATCGCCAACAAGTTTCACCCCCGCACGATCAGCTAAAGTGGTGTTGTGTACGTGATCTTTGTTCCGACCACTTCGCAGCATCGCAAAAGGAAAAGATGTTCAGCGTAGGGTCGTAAAGAGAAATTAAAACGGAATAAACTACACGCACTTCAATCTTGCTGCGCGTCGCACTTCCCCTTCAATAGGAGTGTAACGCCTATTTGCTACTACGACGCTCCCGCCCTTTCGTTAATCTCTCATCTATCTCCCTCTCCTCCCTTCTTTCTTCTGGCTGTGTATCACTTTTCCGCTTGTGCCCCCAAAAAGCGAAACAACCTTTTCAAAGGCTCGGCAAGGAGTCTCAACCTCTTCCTCCACTAAATATCGTAGCGTATTGAATAACCGTCTTCCCCCCCCTCTCCAGCATCTTTACCTTCTTTTCTTATAGACGCTTCGACGTTGCGACGCTAGTTTTGGGGGTCGCTACTCCCTTTCTCCTTCTCCTTGTGCGATGTTTAAGCAGTTGAAGCAGAGTGTGGTGTCGGCCATCTCGTCTGATCCCCTCTACGCCTACACACTAGACACGTCCAGCACGACACTGTGCGGCCGCGGGTATTTGTTTGAAAAGTGTGATGCAGTCGTGCGGGCCAACGGAAGAAAAGTGTCGATTTTTACCCTTCACACAAAACGCCTGCTGGAGCGCTGTACGCCTGATGAGGCGCTGACGGTGGTGAAGACGGTCAAGGACAGCGTCGCGCTGCTGACGCACTTGCGACACCCCGGCGTACTGGCGATTGAGGGCCAAATTGTTGAGGAGAAGAAGAAGGTATGGTTTGTGACGGAACGGGTGACCTCGGTGCTCGCGCCGGAGACGGTGAAGGACCTCCCGCAGCAGGTGAAATTGCTAGGTATGACCCACTGTGCTGAAGGTATTCGCTTCTTGCACGAGAAGGCAGAAATTTTACTCGTCAACTTTGCGCTCTCATCGATCTACGTGACGGAGGGGAACCGGTGGAAGGTGGGCGATTTGTGCTTCGCCGTCCCGCGGGCACAACTTGGCGCGCTGACGCCACCGACGGTCCCTTTTCACAGCGTCGCGGCACCCCTGTTGGACTACCTTCCCATCGAATACATCGACTTCTGCACGAGGCGGAAGAGCGCGACGGACAACTTGTTTGCCGGGACCTCCTCTGCGCCGCTGGTGTTCCCCGACAGCGACACCTACAGCTTCCTCGTTGTCACCTGCGAGGTGATCGATGAGAGGCGTCTCTTCAACTGCGGCGGCAACGCGCAGGAGCAGCAACGGCAGATGAGCGCGGCGGAGTCGAGGGTGGCTCAGTACTTCCCTGCAGGAGCCCTGCGGCTGCCGCGGCCGCCCATCTTGACTGTTGTCAACACCGGCCCCTTTGCCACGCAGGACATGAAAACGCTGATCGGGCTGGCCACCTTTGACACGCTCGACAGCGATGCCCGCTTCCGCCTTCTGAAAGGACTCTACGACGGACTGGTGCAGGGAAGCTTCTGCGAATCGGTTCTTCTCTCCGACGTTGTGCCACTGATGGTGCGGGAGAGCAAGGTGGACGCGATGCTGCGTTTTGTGCTGCCGATTCTCCTACTCTGCACCAAAGCCATCTCGAGCGAGAACTTCAACCGTGCGTTGCGGGACTACTTCGTGTCCTTTCTCACCGCCATCATTCGCGCGCCGTCGATGGAGAACGTGAGCGTGTACGCCGAGCAAGTGCTACAAAAACGCGAAGGTCTCGACAAGCACTTTTCCTCGGTGGAGGACCGCGCCACCTACCTCATCCCACTCATCTCGAAGCTTCTGCAGAGCGACGGCAACGAGCGCATTCAAAAGGGCACGCTGGAATGGCTGCTCGACATTCTGAAGCAGACACCGACCGTAAAGCTGGGGCTGCCAAACGACATCGCCGCTCGTTTAATCGGCGTTGCGTCGGCGAACACGAACTCGTTCATGCTCGCTTTTCAGTGTGTGGAGCAGATCCTTACCTTTGCCTCCACAGAGACGAAGATGGAGGTGGAGGCGAGTCTGGCGCGCAGCATCTCCAACTCTTCCGCCTACTTCACCTCGACGCAGTTGGACTACATGCTGCGCGTGCTAAGGAGCATCGAGGAGAATATGTCATCGGAGCACCGCGCATTGAAGTCGATCCCGCTGCTCTGTCCCCTGTTGCTGCACGCCAACGGCTCTGTCAAGCAGTTCGCCGTCGCCTCGATCGTCAACTACGCGCAGGCGTTCAACGCCGGCTCCCCAGCGCCACTGCCGCAGAGCCACGCGCTCTTTACGCAGCCCACCGCATTGGTCTCCTCTTCTTCCTCGGTGTCACCGCCAGTGCGAAGCAGCGGACCTACCGCGAATGGTAGTTGTGGTGTTGCCACCTCCGCGAGACGCAACGATGACGATCTCTTCTCCACGCTGTTTTCGTGAAGAACGGAAGGTAGAGCAACGACAACGGGCTTTGCGCACGTTATCCCGGCAATTTGCTCATGATGACCGAGGCAAATTTTTCTTTGCTTGAGAGCGTTTATGGCTTGGCTGCTTTTTATTGATTTGTTTGCGCTGCTGCACCTTAACGCAAATCCTAATGCTGAGAAACAGAGCAAGTGGAAGAACAGCGTGTGTGAGACCGTTTCAAAGCGTCGTTGATTCCGATGTTGTGAGCTGTAAAGGCGTCGCTTTGGATCTGCGGAACGTGCATACGCAAGCTTCAAAACCGAAGGTGATTCATGACGATCTCACAGGCGCCTTTGATGGGCGTTTCATGTTCCCTCTGCAACGGGTTTTCTACTTCACCGTTCTCGTCCTAACTTCTCCGCTCTCCACTTATGCGCTTAAGAAGCAAGGAGGTTTACACCTATTGCGAACTTCTCATACCTGCGATCGGGTTCGTTGCACTGCCATCACTCTCTACGTGATCCCATAAGAGAGGTCAACCACGACAGCAACGCAGAGAGCAACAGGAGCAAACAAATTGCAGCAACAATGAGCGCCGAAGGTAACAAAACCGCACCGAGTGTCGCGAAGCCACCCACTTCACGGTCGCCGTCCCCTTCGCCCCTCTCCTCAGACGATGGCAACGACCGCAACACCTACTCCATCAGTCAAAGCCTCTTCGACGCATTAGTGGCCAGAGGATTTAGCGAGAATGCGATAAAGAAGTCTATTGTGGCGGGCTGCGTCGATGAGTCGACCTGCACGCAGTGGATCCAGTTGCACGAGGGCCACCCTGAGCTCGACACCCCGATGGAGCCTGGCGTCGAGGTGGTGGTTAAGGCGAAGCGCATCCTGACGGAGGCGGAGCGTGAGGCCAAGGTGAAGGAGCTACAGGAGCGCGCAAAACAGAAGAAGGAGGCGGAAACGAAGGAGCTGCAGCGGAAGGAGCGGGAGCGCCTCGACATGATGCGCAAGATGGCACACATGAAGAACGAGATGGAGGACGTGCGACGCAAGATGGACATCGACGAGGCCCGCCGCGAGAAGGCGGCTGACTTGGAGGCGCGGCGCCGTGTTAAAATACAGATCGTCGCGGATCGCCTGCAGCGTAAAGGGATGTCGAAGGACGAGGCCTACGCGACGGCGGAACGAGAGTTTGAGGAGGCCGCAGAGCGTGGGCGGGCTGAGGCCGCGGAGAAACTGGCGAAGCTGCAGGAGGCGGCGCAGCCTTCCACGGCAAAGTCAACAAGCGCGCCCGCGGAGGACGGTGCGGCGGGTGTGTGGGACCTCTCTGCGATCACGGCTGCCGCTTCTGCTGAGGCGAAATTGGATACCGTCTTTGCTGGTGCCACTCCCGCCAGCGCGGAGGAGCTCGTTGCGAGCATCCAGCAGCACACGCCGGCTGCACAGAGCGAAGAGTGCGTGCGCACGCTGCGCCTCATTCTGAGCAACATCATCACGGACCCCTTTGACATTAAAAAGCGAACGTTGCGGGTGTCGACGAAGGCGTTTCGAGAAGCTGTCCTTCCCATTGAGGACGCGACGCAGCTGCTGCGCTGGTGTGGCTTTGACCTTTCCACCGATGCCACCGGAGGACACACGATTTGCCTGTCAACTGTGCTGATTCGGAAGTTGCGTCATGCCCTCGCACTTCTTTCTCGTTAGCTTTCGTTCGCTCGGCCTTATTGCGTCGTCCTTTGCTCTTCATTTCGTTTTTTGTTGTTGAGTGGTGTGCTTACGTGGCAGCGAAACATACCACAGTTTCATCGTTGTCGCGGCGACTATGTGCTACACACACCATCTTTTTTCGTCATAACAGCTGAATCTTGGTCGGTGCACGTCAGGGCCATTTATCGCAAAGGGCAACATATCCAGTTTGCGTCAAGTTCAATACAGAATTCTCGATGAACTCGCCTGTTCCTGGCTACCTGTTAAAAACGAAAACGAAACCGCAACAGGTTGAAGCTGCTTCGCTTCCGAATTCATCGAAAGTAAAAAGCAAACGCTTGAGTACATTTCGCGGCGGTGAAAGCAAGTTTTGTTTTGCCGAGACGACGGTTTTCTGTAAAATCGTTTTTATGGCATAGAAGATCGTACTGCCACTTTCGTCTTCTCAGTCATTTTCAGCCCCACTTCCCCGCTCCGTTTTTTTCTTCTTCTCCCCTTTCTCAATTCCGCTGTTTTCAACTCACTTACCTCTGCAATACGCTGACTCTTCTGCGAAGCTGCTGCGAAGGGACGCGCTTTTCCTCGCTTTTCCTACTTTCCGACTCGCGCTGTGTTTGCGGTTTGCGTTGCCCGACAGACCACATCCTCGTGCGCATGTACACGGAGGACGAAATCCTTACCAACGTAGAAAGTAATCTAAGCATGAATCACAACGACGCCGCCGCGTCCTACGACGATGTAACGCGTCAGCGGAAGGACGACCGAAGCAGCCAGCAGGTAGCCTTCCGCCATTTTAATAATTTTGTCAAGAAATCGCTCATTCAGTTTGCATTGGACCGCCTCGCCACTTCTGGAGCGACAGAAGGGGGCGGTGCTGCGGTGCTGGACATCGCAAGTGGGCGCGGCGGTGACGTGGGCAAGTGGGTTTACTCACAGAGTCGTGTGCGGGGCCCGGGACAAACCGCAGCAGCATCGGCTCTGAAGACTGTTACCTACGATTGCTATGATGTTTCTCCCGAATGCATTCATGAGGCAGAGCGGCGCTTTACAGAGCTTGTGAACGGGTCAGACAAGCCGCTGACCTGCGACGCTTCCTTCTCCGTTGCCGACTGCTTCGCGGACAGTTTCCTCCAGCAAACCTTGCCGTCCTCGCCGCTGTTTGGTCACTACCACGTCGTCACCATTCAATTTGCCTTTCACTACGCTTGCCAAAGTTCGGTACTTATTCGCGATGTTCTGTCCGCGGTGTCAAACGCGCTGGTGCCGGGTGGCGTCGTCCTGATTACGACCGTGGATGCCGAGGTGCTGTCGCAGCGCGCCGCTGACGGTAAGCTGGGCAACGAACTGTACGAGGTCACCTTTCCTGAGCCGCCGACCTTTGACGTCACGACCAACGGAACAAAGCAGCTCGTTCCTTGCACCAAGTATCACTTCCACCTCGAAGGCTTTGTGGACTGTGCCGAGTACGTGGTGTGCATGGAGATGGTCACCCGGATTGCTAGAGAGGTCGGCTTGAACGTCAGCGAAGCAATGACGAAGCCTTTCTCCCAATTTGTGCACGAGTACGCGTCCAACTGGAAACTGAACAAGGGCAACAAGATGAGCCCGTCGGAGTACGAACTCGTGACGCTGTACCGCTCGATCTGCTTTGAAAAGCAACGCGCATGAGTTTCGCCGACAGAAATCTCCGTGTGATGCGAAAAATAATGATAACTTGTATTGGAACAACCGTGCGCCGAGTGCGCTCCTTCCAATGGCGAGGCCTCTTTTTATGGGGGGTGATGGACGTGATTCAGCACTCGTCACCGTTATACGTGACTGCGCGGTCGAAAGAGCCGCATGTTGAAGCAACTGCAATTGCATACAATGAAGTTGTGTGAAGGCGCTGGAGAAAACGGATTATTGTTCTTGTGTTTTTTTCTCAAAATGCAAATAACTTGTGATGCGCTTTTACCTGCTCAGCTGACGAGCTGTCAGGGTTTGAGTGCACGAAGCTCCAGTGGTGTCGTGACCTTATGGGCCGTTGAACGCGCGCCAAGCACATTCTGTGTGTTCATCTGAACCTTCTACTCCGTTGCGCATCTTCTCTTCCTACTATCTCCATCCTGTTTTCTTTCTGTTCCACTCAACTGTGCGTTTCTTCACAAACAATGGCCGAATCAAATCAAAACCGTAGAGCTGCAGTAGTGAAAGCAGAAGCGTGTTGTGCATCATGTCGTTGGAACTGACGAAGCCGAGTAGCGCGGCCCTGCAAACTGCGCTGCGGGCGTTTCTGGAGAAGGAGCGGCCTCCGCCACTCGTGCCGCATCCCCCGAAGAAAAACACGACGTGGCGCACCCGTCGAATCGTCGCGGAGCTCAATGCGTTGAAGAGCGTCGGCGCCCTCACCAATTTCGAGACGGAGCTGCGAGGCGTGTTACTCTCGCAGGAGACGCGGTGCCGCACCAAGCTGATGGCCGCGACGTTCGGCGCCGAGGGCGCTTTGCGTGAGAGGGAGCTCATCGAGGGGGAGGAGACGACGCAGCGAAGTAAAATAGCTGAAACGTACTGGGCCGAAACCGGCAAGCAGTTTGACCTTCTACATACGAATCTGCAGGAAGAATGGACCCGCCGCGCTCTGCGCCGCAGTGAGCGCTCTGAGCGGCGTGCTCTTGCACGTTCCATACGGACGACGCAGCTTTTTCTGCGTGAAACGAATGATCGTGTCGCTCTCTGTGCACAGGAGGAGTGCTGTCGAGAGGAGATCAGGTATCGCCGTGTTATTGAAATCGGCAACGACCTCCAACGCGAGATTGTCACGGAGTGTCGCTTGTCCGGCCACCTGCGCAGCGTTGCTTACTCCCGCACCGTGCAGGAGACGCGTCGTCAAATTGAGCTGCAAGAGGACAGAGATCGGAGTGCGGTGGAGCGGTTGTATCACTTGCACACCATTGCGCTGTTTGAGTGTGCGAAGGAGGACTTCTCGGCTGCCATCCGAAAGGACGTGGTCCTGCTCTCTGACACAAACCGGGACACCGCACAACAGGCAGCCGTGACAGTCTGCGCCAGCAACCTTTTGCGCTGCGTGGAGCAGGAGACGCAGTTGCGGCTTCTAGTCGAAGAGCAGGAGACAGCGCTGTTCAAGACACTTTCGCAGAACTTTTTACTCGGCTGGCGAGTGGTGTACAAGGCGATCACAAAAGATCCAGATGTGCGGAGTGTCTTTAGCAAGGTCGAACTTCTCGTGCGCCACCAACTCGCCGGTCAGGAGAGGACCGCGTTTGACGCGTTGAGGCTCGCCGCAGAGTGCCGTATGTCCGCCTGCAAACGTCACCGTGGCGAACGTCGCGCCCTCTGCCAGGACTACGTGACCGGAGCAAGAGCCCTGTGGGAGGAGGAGAATCGTGCGGCCAATGTTATCTTCCGGCAGCTCCACCTCTGGCAGAAGGAGGCCGGCGCTCTGCAAGCTGTCACGGTACTCGGGATAGCGGAGACTGCCGCTCGCCGGGGGGTCTGCAGTGCGGAGGCGCAGGTACGGCTGCGCCTCAAGATTAAGTACGCGGCGGTCTCGGTGCTCCTCAGCTGTGCAGCGGTCACGCAGCGCATCCTCGCTGACGAGGCTCACGACTTCAACCTGCTGCGGCGCCGCTACATCGGTCATTTCCACACACGACAAAAGGAGCTGCTCACTCTGGGGGAGAGCGCCGCACGAGCCGTCATCGACCACTGCGAGTGCACCGCAGCAGCTGACTTGTTCTTGTCTCTGCGCCAGTCGCTGGCGCGTTTCCGTGCGTCAGACGTGAGCCGACCTCTTCTTCTTGTGGAGGAGCACTTTCGCAGTCAAACTGAGAAGGAAGAACTCGAGGAGCGGCATGCACTGGCCCTGCTTTACTGCTGCCTGCAGGAGCGCTCAAGTCGGCTCCAGGTGGAAGCGGACGAGCGATCTTCGCATTGGCACAGGTGCGTCGCGCAGTTGTGCGATTCTGAACAGAATAGCCGGCGGGCGCTTTGCACTGCAGCAACTGAGCAACTGTCGTCTCTGCACACATCAGCTCGTAGCACGTTGGAGGAAATTGAGGTCAGCAACGCAGCTTCGAAAAGAGGTGTGGCAGCCGACCAACACGATGCTGACGAGGACGCATTTCTCCTGCTCAACCTCGACGGGGACCTGCCCGAGTGCGTCGAGCAGGCATGGCAGGAGGTGTACGCCGACTGGGAGCTCACAGAGAACGCCTCTTCACTGGACTCGTATGAGTCGCAGAAGGTCAGCGGACCGCCACTGCTCAACTCCTATGCAGCTCAGTGTGAGGAAATGCTTACGGATGCCTACCTGCAGCGCGATTTGATCCACTTCGCGGAGCACGCAGAGTGGCGCCGCCTTCTCCGACGGACGCAAAAAAGCTACACCGACAAGGCGTCGCCGGTGTGGACGCTGCACAGCATTTCACTTAAACAGGAGCCGAACCAGCGTGCAGCGAGCGTCAACATGTGGGACTCGAGTCAGCTCTTCGACGTTAGCTTTTACCTGGCTCAGCAGCAGGAGGAGGGCATTGTGGGCGAGCGCACCATAGCGTTTTACGTCCCATACGCGCCATCAGCTGCGGCGGTCATGCCGCGCTGCGCAAATCCTGGAATGGCCTTTTTTCTTATTCTGGATGAAGAGGGTACGGTTTTGTCGTCTGCCAACCTCGTGATGGAGGCGTGCAGCGAGGACGTGGGGTACCTGTGTGTTCCCCTGGACAACTCTGCCGGCTATCTTCGGTTCGAATAGAGAGCGTTTTTTTCTTCGTTGATTTGCTTAGGCCGTCTGATCTACGTGACACAACACGGGCTCTTTACCCTTCCTTGTTCCCGGTTTCTGCTTTTCGTCTTGATGTAAACTACTGGAATGCATCTTCTGCCATGTCTATTCGATATCTCCTTTTTTTTTTGTATGCTTTATGTAGCGTCCAGCTTGTGTTTATTTTTGCTCTCTGCGGCCTTTCGAAGCTTATGAACACTGCCCTGCTCTGAAAGCGACATGCGCACGCGCGATAGTGGAACAAATAGAAAATTGCGTTGAAGCGGTTCTGCTTCTTCATGACTTGAAGGGAACGCGACGAGGGTGAGTTGGCACGCAAATGAGCAGTGCCTCAAATCCACGCGACAACTGCTGAAAAAGAGCGGCGAGGGAAAAAGAAAAACAACGCGTTACGTGTGTTGCTCTGAACATGCCATCAAGCGCGTAACTCTGTTTTGCGCGCCTGACAACGAGCGGTGAGCAACAACGCCCTATAAAACAAGGAGAATAATCAGCTACTCGTTCTATCTCCTTTTTGTTTTTCTTTCCAATCTCAACTGCAGCTCAGTTCGAGATCGCAACAGCAGAGGAGAAGGCTGTGCCTTCATTTGCAATGGGAAAAAGGCAGTAGGACTACGCAGTCGCGGGGCACACCCAAGTTGAGTTGAACAACTACTGTTTTGTTTTTACTTTTTGGTTTCCTGCAATACAGAGCACCCCTATCTCGATGCACGGTGAGGCACAGAAGGCGCCTCCTCTGCTCCCACACGCCATTGCAAAAGACATCGACTCCCGTCTCAGCCTGGACGATAGGGCAAGTGCATTGGTGGGGCAGATTCTATCGGAGCTGGTCTACCTCGCTGACGTTGATCCTCCTGCGAAGAGCAAGACGCCGTGCGCTGACGGTGAAAGATGAGCCAGAGCATGCGAGACCAGGTGAACAGCCTCCAGCACTTCCAGCAGCATTCCCGCTTGCATTTTATCGGGCAATGGAAGACGAAAATGGAGGACGAGTTCCGCGAGCTGTTCGCCGCCCACCCGGAGTGGAACCACGGCACGCTGGAGCAGCAACGCGCGTTTATTCACATCGACATGGACGCTTTCTTCTGCTCAGTGCAACTGGCAAAGCCGGAAAACGCGCATCTGCGGTCCCAGCCGGTGGGCATCGCTGCGGGAAAGTTCAACAGTGACATCTCGTCGTGCAACTACGTGGCGCGCACGTTTGGCATCCGGGCTGGCATGTACGTGAACGCGGCAAAGGTGCGCTGCCCGGATCTTGTGACCTTAGGCTACGACCTGGAAGGGTGCGAGCGTGTTGCCAAGACGCTGTACCGCATCGTCTTCGAGTCCTTCCCGCACAATGTGAAGATGTCGTTGGAGGTCTACAGCATCGATGAGGTGATGCTGGCCGCAGACACCACCGACTACGCCGTGCTGCAGAGCTTCTGCGAAACGGTGCGCAGGGAGCTGTTTGCCGCAACGGGGTGCACCGCCTCCTGCGGGATTGGGCCGAACATCATGCTGGCCCGCGTCGCCACCGATCGCGCCAAGCCAAATGGCATTCGTGTGGTGGACCCGAAAGACGTGCCGAGCATCATGATCAGTCTACCATTAGACTACATCCACGGTGCTGGCGAGAACACGATGGAGAAGATCTGCGGCGCCCTGCGGGAACGCAAGTACATCAGCGAAGACACCGATGCGGACGACGTCACGTGTGGAACGGTGCAGCAGCTGAAACTGGAGGAGCTGCAGCAAATCTTGGGGAAAAAGCAAGGCGAGACCTTTTACCACCGCGCTCGCGGAGAAGACAGTCGCGTGGTGACCCGCACCGGTGACCCAGACGATCAGCGTTACTTAGGCAAGCGCGTCCCCAATTCTGTTGGCTGCACCATGAACTACGCCGTGCGTCCGCAGAGCGCCGCGGATGTTGCAAATGTTCTGCGCCAATTGCTGGACGATGTATGCGGTAAACTGCGTCGCGCGAACGCTGTGGCGCAAGGAATGCGTGTGACGCTTCTGGAGCGGCACCCGTTGCATCCAAAGGAGACGCTGAAGTTTATGGGCCGTGGAAAGTGTGTGGAGGTGCACCTCTCGTTGAAGCTGCCGCACCCCATGGCCGCAGAGGAGGCGGAGCTGATGTTCAACGAGCTCGATCGTGCAGTGAGGCCGCTTCTGGTGACGTCCCGATCCATCTCCGACGAAGAACGCGCTGCACAGCTGGGCCTGACGACCGGCGCAGAGGATCAGAATATCTGGACCGTTACGTTGCCAGCCCTGCGCGACATCGTCATCGAGGATGTGCGCGGCATGACGGTGCAGGCCACGGGGCTGCGTGTTAAAGGCGAGGCTCCGATTGTGCGTCAGCGCACGACCGGCCAGCAGTTGTCGCTCGCGGCGGCCTTTTTCAACGCCAAACGACCGCGCTCCGACGAGGCGGTCACCGTGGTGGAGTCTACTCCTGCAGCACGACTCTCTGACGCACGAGGAAGTGACGTCCCCACGGCCGCAGCCACCAACGCTGCTGTTTGTGCAGTAGCTGCTTCTTCTGCTGAGCAGCTCTATGCACTTGTGTCTCGGTCGTGGAGGGGGAAGGCGCTGGAGGAATGTATCGCAGCCTGGCAGCGCGGCTGTGAGGCTGCCTGTAGACAACTCGACTACCCACTGGTCAAAGCGTATCTTCGCGGCGCTCTTGTAAAGTTAGCGGAGTCTGCTGCGACGGACCACGCTGCGAAGTGCTTCGAAACGTTGGTGGACTTCGCGAACACACGTCTTCCCGCACCTCTCGACTTTGACTGAAGGTGCACGACCGTTTGTTGGTGCGTGTTTCTCGCCCTTCTTTTTGCGTGGTGGCTTCGCGCCTGTCTCAAGAGCAAGGAAAAGAGAGAAAAAGAAACGTTTGAAAATCTGCGTGACGAGGGAAACGAACAAGAGCAAAACGGAAAGGTGGTGGAGGGCGTTAAATGCGTCCGTAATCGGAGATCGCTTTTTTTGGGTGCTCCCTTTAGCGGATCCATAGGCAAGTTTAGCGAGGCGGCCTACCAACACCGCTATATATGCCGTGTTATCGCCTGACTGTTTCACTCAGTTCTCAATGCTGCGTACATTTTCTGATTCTATCTCGTGTCCTCCTTATGCCATCCGCCGGCACGCCGTGGTGTTCCGCGCATAGCCCTGCGTTGCATTTCATCCTTCCTGAACCCTCCCACAAAACAGAGTAGCCGATACTACAGCGACAACACAAAGATGAAAACGAAGTGAATTTTCTCGACGTGAAAGAGAAGACGCGCCATTTAACGTTGACCTTTTTGCGATAAAGAATATACATATTAGTATCAAACATTGCCGTATTGCATCTTGAGGAAGCGCGATTCCCACGTTTCACTCCGCAGCGTCTTTTCACAGAGGCGATAATAAATGACGGATCATCTCGTACAGGCCGCAGCTTGCCTGCGTTGTGGTGATCACAGAGGCGCTGCCGAAGCACTGCGTGAGCTGGAGCTGGGTGACGCCTCCCGTGCCTTTCAAATTGCAGTGGAGTCATTGTCGAGCCCATGCACCACCGAAGACAACGTCTACGTGCGCTTTGTTGCTCTGAAAGTCGTGACGTACGCCCTTACCCGCTACGCGGGTGACCGCAAGCAGCAGAGCAGCACCGCCGTCCCTTTCTTGCTAGATTACGGCTATCGGCTGGCAGAGCAGGCCGAGTCGCACGCGTGGCTGCCCGTCGTCTCCGAGTTGGCAACTGCCATGGCCGTCGCGCTGAAGCTCGGCTGCGTCGACGATCTCCTCGAAGTGCACGCGGCGGAGGTGGAGGTACTGCTGGCAGGACTGATGGACCTCGTGCAGGTCCATTTCCCGTCGCACAAGGCCTTCCTGCATCGCGTGATCTGCCAGTCGACGGTGGAGGAGTTTGGACTGTTCAGCGGGGTCTCGCGGTACCGCGGACTGCCGGTGCGCGTGCACCGACGCTGCCGTGAGCTGTTCTCCTCGGATGGCCGCCTGCCGCTGCTCATCCAGGCCATCTTCCGCAGTCTCCTTGCGCTCTCCGCGGAGTCAGAGATGTCGGTGGACAGAGGCCTTACGGCACTCGTCTCGTGCTTTGCGTGGCCGTCGCACCAGTTTTTTGAAGAGGATTCCTCCACGGAGGAGTCGTGCGGTGTCTTCTACGTGTCCCACCCCGAGTGGGAACGACTGCTGGTGGGCACGGTGCCGCTGCACACGGACGCCGCCTCCGCCTCTGCCGCTGTCTTCACAGTGCACGATGTGCTGCGGGAGTGGTACGGAAGTGGCGCCGTGAAAGGCGTGGCTGTGGACCGGCAGAAGTTGGTGGAAATGATTCAGCTCCTTTGCGCATTTAAAGGTAGCCAGTGGGGGGAGGAGGGGTCGATCCGATTTTTGGCGTCGTCCCTCACGCTTTGCCTGGACGTCTTCGAGCACCTGACCGGCTGTGCGACGGAGCGCGAGTTGCACCTCTTCCCGCTGCTGGCCACGGCCGTTTTGCGGCTTGTGTCGAACTACGTGGAGTTCTTCTTCTTCCCTCCGGCGCAACCTCTCATCACGCGACTGGCCAGCCTGACCTGCTTTCTCATACGGCGCTGCAATACCAGTAGCGGCGACGACCCAGACGTGATGTCCTGCGTGGATGAGATGCTGAGTGTGTGGTACCACCTCACCTCGTACATTGACCGCAACAGCTTCTCGGCACACAACTCGAAGAGTTGCGCCCAGCGCCACCTCATCAGCGAGGGTTGCCAGCACATCTTTTCCACCTACATGGCGGTGAAGGTCAGCGTCGACGCCGTAGAGCTGGAGGACGACTACTTCTCCGAAAGCTTCACGAGCTCACACCTCCACCTTGTCGCCCAGGTGGGCCGCATTTGCGCCAGCTACACCTGCGAACTCCTCATCCACTCCACCCAGACGTTGCAGGCGTCTCTCGCGAATTCGCTCAGCGCCGCCGCGGTGCCGTCGCCGCTGTTCGAAGCACTGTGGACGCTGCTGAGAATCATCGGCTTCTTCATCGCCGACCCGGTGGAGGGCGAACAGCCTTACATTCCCCGGTGCTTTTTAGAGATGGGGGCGGAGAACAATTCGCTGCTGCTGCAGCTCATGACGGCGGTAAACGCTCTTCTCCCGCTGCTGCAGAGCCCCGTTGCGGCGAGCTCGGCGGTGCAGGCTGCGTTTCTTGACATCCTGACGCACTACATCAGGACCTATGTCGAGAACGACGAGACGTGCCCGCTGTACGCCGGCGCGTTCGACGAAGGCGCTAAGGTAGTGGACCTCGCACTGGTAGCTGTCACGGGAGCCTTGCAGGTCTCCCCGTTCGAGGAAGACGCCACCGGTGCCGCGTGCCGTCTGCTCGACTGCATCGCAGACAAGAGCGGCTCCGTGCGCATTTTCTGTGAAGCGCAGAGTTCGTTCCAGCAGCTCACGCAGGCAGCGCAGCAGATCCACCGCTTTCGCTTCCACGGTCACACACGAGGGCGCATCATTGCCTTCATCTTGGCCTGCAGTCCCGATGCAAGCACGGTGCAGACGCGTCTGAATGAGTTCACCTTGTCGCCGTCCTCTAACGACGATGTGAATTTGGTGCTGGAGATACTGAGCTCCCTGGCTGGCATGTTCGAGTCGTTGCACAGCCAGCAAGTAATCCGCGGTTCGTTTCCTGGGCTGTTGGCGGTGGGGCAGCAGCTCATCCACGTGTCGACCTCGAAGTTTTATGAGCGCGAAATCGCCCTCGAGTCGGTGCAGTTTGCCCGAAGCATGTTTGTGGCGTGTGCCCCACTGCTGGATGACGATAGCATCCGTGCGCTTCTCGGCCTCGTTGTATCGGAGCTCCGCTACTCCGTTCAGGCTGTCCGCACCAGCAACACGTGGACGTCTGCCGAGGGCGAAAACGACAAGGCAGACTATATGATCGGTGTTGCGAAGCTGCTGAGTTCGTTGGCGCAGTGGAAGGCCCTCGACTGCTTTCTTCCGGACGACGATACACGCGCGCTCTCGGCCTCAACGGTGGAGACGGCCGGTGAACTGCTGCGACACATGGACGAGCGGTCGTTGAGCCTGCCGAGTCTGGAGGACTCGCTGTTCAGCTGCATGGAGGTGTGCGCTGAGTCCTTCACCGCAGACTTCGTCTTCTCTAGCAGCTCCGACGCGTTTCTCTCCGCCATGCTCTACGCGCTGAACAGCGAGCGGGTCAACATCCAACGCGCCGGCATCTCTGTCACAGCGTGCGTCGCAGCGTTTTTGGAGGCTTCCACTCCGCAAGCCAACCACGCGAGCGCCTGCGCCGACCTGCTCAAAGTTGTGCTGCGAGCCTTGACCTCTGGAAAAGTGTTCTTCAACAATCTGCAGCAAATCTCGCGTGCGCTGCTTATCCTGACAAGAGGTGTTTCACCCGGGACTCTTTTGCACCTTATGGAGAGCCTCGCAGGGGAAGTGCCGCACAGCGCGGCCTTTCTCCAGACGATCTTCCCAGCTCTCCAATCCGCAGCAAGTCACAGCACCACGAACGACGCTCAATTTGAGGAGTTAGTGCAGGATGCGTTGTCCTCGGTGCGCGGCACAAGCATTATTGGTGCCTAACATGTGCACACACGCGAAGAGAGAGCGAGAGAAGAATGCGTTTTGCCTCACAAAAATAATTTTAAAAAATACATGTTCGCAAAGCTTGCCTACTTTGAGCTCGACACCTTTTCATAACGTGAACACCGGCGAACGTGAGCGCAGGCTCATCTCTGCTTCCTGATTGGTTGCTATGCAATTGCGGGAAGAGTGACCGCACCACAAGCAAAGAAAACCCAAAGGAGGATTTTACTCTCCTCGCCGATATGCCGAGGGGTACGCGTTGCACAACTCTCTTTTCCCTTTTCATACGTCTTTCTTTAGCGCCTGCGGTGCTGCTTTGACCCTACCGCTTCTGCTTCACCTGACCCGTTCTTCCTCGCCACCCACGTGGTGTCTTCCATAAAAAACAATAAAAGCAAGCTTACACACCCAAGTTTTTTTTTTCTGCCTCACTGCGTTGCGTGGAGTGTTCTTCGAGCGCGAAGGAAGACGTCAACAGAAGTACTTTTCTTGCTTGGACACTTACTCCCTGCTTGCGTTACTTGACGTCGGTATCCCTGCTTCTCGTTTTCGCTACGGCTGCTGGCAATGGCATTGCAACGGACGGCGCACGATGCGTGCTCGCGCAAGATACACTGCGTTCGCAAGCACTACCTGGACGATCCTTTTGTCACCTTTTTTGCCAAGGATGAGACCATTGTGAATAGCCCGCTGATGAATCGCGGCACGTGGCTCCGCGCGATGGCCATCGAGAACTGTGTGAAGGGCTTCGCCGCCGCCGCGGGGCAGCCGGTTCAGGTGATAAACTTCGGCGCTGGCATGGACACGCTCTTCTTTCGGCTGAAGCAGGCAAATCCGGACTTTCCGGTGAGGAAGTTTGTAGAGCTTGACTTTGCGGATCTCGTGGCGGAGAAAGAGCGCATAATTCGCCGCCATGCTGAGCTGAGCTCGCTAGTGCAGTCTGAATACGTCATCGCTTCCTGCAACCTGTACGATGCGAAGGGTGTGGCTGAGGTGCTCAAGCAACATTTGCAGAGTGGCATTCCCACCATTATGCTGGCCGAGATGGTCTTTGTATACATAGAGGGCTCCGTTACAACGGAGCTCCTCAAGACGGTGATGTCAGATGTGATTGGTCTCGACACGAACACGATGCTCGTGACATACGACGCAATCGAGCCCTTTGACCGCTTCGGCAAGGTGATGGTGGAGAACTTGCAGCAGTTTGGCGCCGAGTTCAAAGGCATTGCTGACTTCCCCACAACGGAGGCGCATGCGCAGCGGTGCAGGGACCTCGGCTTCAAAACGGTGACGGCGGTAACTATGAAGAGTCTGTACCTTAGTGTCCCGCGCAAACTTCAAATTGGCCTCAACAAACTTGAGATGATCGACGACTGGGAGGAGTGGAACCTGGTGCACGAGCACTACGGCTTCGTTGTCGCCTCCACCGAGGACGCGCCTTTACCCAAGCTTTTCTGAGCCCGTTAGCAGCATAACTATGGTTGCGAAGTGTGAAGCAGAAGGTGACAAACGTCGTGTAGTTCTGCCGCACAAACACCGACGGTTTGTTGAAACCGGGGTGATGGATGTGCTTTGTTTTATGACAGTCCTCGCGGTTCTCTGGTTCTGCGCCGCACCGCGATTGGTAGTTGAGCTTTCCGTTTTTGCTTACATTGGTGTTTTTTCTTTCCATTGTGGTGTTTCGCGCGACACTCGCTCCCTAATTTCAATGTTGACGCCTTCTTCTTTTTTTAGAAGTCTGTCGCTGCACTTCACAAACACAACTCTCTTCTACGAAGTTTCCGGTTGCTTCTTTCTGTTTTTCTCTTTGCCGCAGGCCGTCTCCTATCGTCAAGTCGTCGTGCGCTCATAGATGGCGGTGCTGTCGGAGCCTGCGTGCCTCAAAGCCACACAAAGAAGCTATAGGTTCTCAAAGGATATATATATATGTAATGAAGAGCTTCTTTTCATGTCTGCATGCGCGCACCCATGCGGCTCGTGCTAGGAAAGCGGCCAGTTATCATTGGTCTTCACAAAGAAGTAATGTGCGTTGACATTGGCGGCTCCGTCTTTTCTAATTGGACACAATTCCTTTTATGTGGAATCCAATTATGCTGACGCTTCCCCTTGCATCAGCGCAGCTTTTCAGCGCACACGATTCCTCTTACTCCCTTCGCTCCACCTCCTTTTTCTCTGGTTTTATTTGCCCTTCTTTTGTTCTCCATGTCGACACACACACACACACACCCACAGATTATTCAATTCTCTCACGAAAACGGTTTAAGTTTCCGCAATGGAAGAATACAAAGCGAAGGGAAACGACGCCTTCAAGGCCAAGCGGTACAAGGAGGCTATTGACTGGTACTCGAAGGCGATCGCAATGGACCCGAACAGCGAGGCCTCTGGCGCCATCTACTCAAACCGCGCCGGCAGCTGGCAGAACCTGAACAACTACGAGAAGGCTGCTGAGGACTCGGAGCATTGCATTCGTGTTCGCCCTGACTGGCTCAAGGGTCACTTCCGCAAGGCTGTGGCCATGGAGAGCATGGGCAAGTACGACGACGCGCAGAAGGCCTTCCAGGAGGCGCTGCGGCTCAGCCCTGGCAATGAGGAGGTCATCGAGAAGCTGCAGACGATCAATAGCAAGCTGCGCGAGCGCAACGAGAAGGCGAAGACGTCCGCCTGCAAGACCCCGGAGGAAGCGAAGGTGCTCGGCAACTCCCTCTTCAAAGCCGGTAAATACGAACAGGCAGCCGAGTTCTACGGCCGCGCCATTGAGCTACAGAAAGAGCCGGTGAAGGAGAAGGCCGTCTACTACACCAACCGCGCCGCGTGCCACCAGCAGACGCACATGTACACGCTCATGATCGATGACTGCAACGCTGCGATTGGGATTGACCCCAACAACGTGAAGGCATACCTGCGCCGCGGCATCGCCTACGAGGGCATGGAGAAATGGAAGCTGGCCCTAGAGGACTACACGAAGGCGCAGTCTCTGTCTCCTGGTGTGGGCGGTGCTTCGCAGGGAATCCTGCGGTGCCAGCGAGCGCTGCGCAACTGATCCTCTGGGCCCACTGGCCTAGGTCTGTAACGCTTCCTTGACCTTATTTTTCTTCTCGTAATCTCTAAGTATCCTGTGTTTCTACTGTGCTAGGTAAGCTCATCTCCCAACTGCAAAACCTTTTTTTTTTGTGTGTGTTTCCAAGACAACAGTAAGCGAAGTAAGAAGCGGGTTTCCCCCTTTTCTTTTGCGAGATGGAATAGTGTCGAGCCTTCGCTGCGATCGGTGCTCATGTGCTTGAGCGATCTCCTTGACGCTTTCTGCGCATTTTGGTACACGGACATTCCCTCTCACTGGTGCGTCACACCAGAGGAATGTGTACGTGGCTAGGACAAACGGCGAGGCATTTTGTGTCGTGGTGTTTCTTTTTGCGTCTTGTCTCTCTTCGACTTTCCTTTCATACTTTGCCCTCTGAACGCCGCCCACGCCGCTATTGCGAAGGAGCGTGCGATATTTTGGATGTACACATAGAGTGCATGCTCATCGGTACTATTGTTAAACAAGAAGAGAAACTGCGGGCTGCTTCTCACCCTGCTCTTGACTTTCCGACGTAGCCTCGTCTTTTCTGCATTATCGATGGACTTAGTCAAACGTCGGCTGGTGTACGTCGCGGACGAGAATGAGGTGCTGCTCGGTGATCTCTCTGGTACGCCACCCACGCGGCAGTCTCGTACGTCACTGCTGATGGTGCCCCTTTCGCCGCCGCTCTCCCAGCGGTCCTCCGGCACCATTTCTCCACCGCCGAGGCCCGTATTCACACAGGACGCGGCGCCCCCGCAGGTGGATAGGAAGCTGTTGGTGTCGTACGACGGCTTTCTGCTCGCGGACGGCAGCGGGCACTTCGCAACGCCGCACAACGCGACGGAAGCGGCGCTCATGCGCGATGCCCTCAAGATCTGCCGCGCGTACCTGAAACAGTTCTTGGCTGATCAGCAAGAAGAAAGCGATTCCTCAGAGTCGTTTAGCACAGCAGCCTCCAGCTCAACCTACGTGGAGGAGTCGGCGGAGTCGGAGGTGGATGAGAGCAGTGATGACTCTTCAGCGGCTCCGCGGTATCGCCGCGCCAAGGCCGCTGCGGCCATTCAACCCGCCGGACCTGCGCCGAGCCCATCGAAGATGACGGTGGCAGAACTGAAGGAGCTGCTGCGTGCGCGTGGCGTCCCTGCTGTGGGCAACAAGGCGAGTCTTGTTCTCCGCGCAAAGTCGCTGCTGGAGGACGAAAGAGCCGCTTCTCTGCTTGACTGTGGCACTGACGAGGCGACCGTCACCCCTCGGCCGTCGTCGCAGGCGACGTGCTCTCGCGACCACACCGTGCGCAACTCCGGTGCCTCCACCGCGTCGCGGGTGTCGACTCTAGCGTCGTCGTTGCTTGCCTCGCCGACGGCGCGCATCAGCACGGAGGGCCGCGGCCTGTGGGGAGCGTTGGTGACGGCCGGCTCGCGCCTCTTTCGTGGCACTGCCCGTGGATCTCTCGGCTTTGTGCACGAGCCGGCTGCGGGGCAGGACGAGGTGCCGCCGGCAAAGAGGCGACGCAGTGCGTGATCGCGCATACGGACAAGATGTCGTGTAGAGACGTTGTTTTTCACTTTACACTCTGCGTGTTATACCTTTACGCTATCGCTTCCTTTATACTAGATCGTGTTGACGCTGAGATAGCGCCAGCCAAACTACTTCATTGACTAAGACAATTCATCACAGGTAGGACGCCAGGGTCTACCGTATCTCGCTGCGCTTCCCTCACAGAAATTGATCTGCCGCCTGCATTGCCTGACAGGTCCGACGTCGTTCGTTGCCATCGTGTGGAGGAGGGACGCATCACAGCCTTGAGTTCTCAGCTTTTCTGCATCACGGATATCTTCGTTTTTCCCGCACTCGGGCTCCCAGCACAATCGTCCTGCTTTCCTACGCAGATCTCTTAAGAGAAAAGCAAACAAGCCATCCAAAGAAATAAAACAACTCCTCGACACAGCAAAACTGTTAAAGAAAAAAGGAATTTATAGTTTTTACTTGCACCACAAAGTGACGACGAGTGCTGCCGTTTTCAAAATTAACGATTCGACTTCAGCTTCAACACACCACCACAGCAGCAACAAAAACTCTTTCAGTGTCCTCATTGCAAGATGTCTGACCCTCTTGTCCTCGGCCTCGATTACGGGTCGGACTCTGCTCGTGCGGTGCTCGTCCGTGTTCGCGATGGAAAGGAGCTGGGGAGCGCGGTGCACAACTACACGCGTTGGGCCAATGGGCAGTACTGCAACCCCAAGGTAGTGCAGTACCGCCAGCACCCGCTGGACTACATTGAGGCAGCGGAGTACGTCATCAAAACTGTCCTAAAGAATGCTGGACCGGAGGCCAGCAAACAAGTTGTCGGGCTCGGCTTCGACACGACAGGCAGCACCCCGTGTATGGTGGACGAGACATGCACCCCGCTGGCAATGCGGGCAGACTTTGCTGAGAACCCGAATGCAATGTTTATTCTGTGGAAGGATCACACCTCGGTGCAGGAGGCTGCGGCCATCAACGCACTGGCGCACAAGAGCACCCCCGACTACACCTCTTTTTGTGGCGGCACCTACTCCTCGGAGTGGTTCTGGTCGAAGGCCTTGCACGTGATTCGCACCGATGCGACGGTGGCACAGGCAGCCTACGGCGTGGTGGAGTGCAGTGAATGGCTCCCCGCCTTTTTCACCGGCGTGCGTTCATACGACAAGCTTGTGCGAGCTCGCTGCGCCTGCGGGCACAAGGCGATGTGGAACGAGAGCTGGGGTGGCTTCCCGCCGCGCAGCTTCTTCGAGCAGCTGCACCCTCGCCTGGGCATCTTTCGGTCCCGCATGTCCGACGTCACGGAGACCGTCGACAAGCCGGTCGGCACGCTGACCGAGGAGTGGGCGCGCCGTCTTGGGTTGAGCACGAAGGTGGTGGTGGCGGGCGGCGCCATCGATGCCCATTTTGGTGCCGTCGGAGCCGGCATCAAAGCACATTCGTTTGTGCGTGTCATGGGGACGTCGACGTGCGACATGATGGTGATCGACCCGAGCGTGCTCGGCCAGCGCCGCGTTCAGGGCATCTGCGGCCAAGTCGATGGATCGATTATTCCGCACATGATCGGAATGGAGGCGGGCCAGTCCGCCTACGGGGATGTTTTTGCATGGTTTTCGAAGCTGCTTCAGTACTCCTCCACACACGTCATCGCAAAGTCCTCCGCCCTTGATGATGGGACGAAGACAAAACTCATTCGCGAGGTTAAAAAAAAGATGCTCACTACGTTGAGCGAGGACGCCGCACGCCTGCACCCTGGCGAGACCAGTGTGTACGCCCTCGACTGGTTCAACGGACGACGCACGCCCGACGCAAACCAACATCTGAAATCGGTCATTGGCGGTCTCACTCTCGGCAGTGACGCGCCGAGCATTTACCGCGCGTTGGTCGAGGCCACCGCCTTCGGCTCCCGCGCCATCGTCGAGCGCTTCCGCCGCGAGGGTGTGCGCATTGATAACGTCATTGCCGTGGGCGGTATCGCGAAGAAGTCTCCGTTGACCATTCAAATTCTGGCCGATGTGTTGAACATGCCCATCACGGTGTGCAGGAGCGCGCAAGTATGCGCGCTTGGGTCGGCCATTGCGGCTGCGACAGCTGCGGGGTGCTACAAGACCATTCCCGAGGCGCAAGACAAGATGGCCAGCGGGTCGTCCACGTCGTACCAGCCGTCCGCTGAGGCTGCGAAGGTGTACGATGCCCTGTACAAACGGTACCAAGAGCTGGCAGCCAAAACCGAGCAGATGTATGCCCACATGTAGCGACAGAGAAGAGCGGGATGACCTGCCTGGGCAGCGCTAGTGCGGGGGCTGTTTCGTAGCGAACGTGAGGATTGTTAACCAAAAAATAGGCGAACGCATTTACCGCCTTGTTTTACTTTTTAATTCTCCCTCTATATTTAAACGCAGTTAGTAGAACAAGACACTGCATTCCGCATCATTGTTTTTCCTTCTTCTTCAAAAGAGCTTATTGTAACAGGCGTGATTCTCAGCGGTGAAAAGCTGCATCACTTTTGACACACGCATGCACAGTGACGTCAAAATTTATTTTTAATGAAAACGATTTCTCACTCTATTCTTCCTCTCAAAATGAACTCCTACAGAAACAATAACTATTTCGTCATTAAGACGTCTTTTTGTGTTCTTACGCATCAAAAAAATGCCTTTTATAAATATATTGGCTGTGCTTGCTGTATGCGCTGCCACAACCGCAGAAGGGTGTTCTTCTGCTTTTTTATGTGATGGGTGTACAATCGTCTACCTAGTTAGCACCGATATGTACATACATTTCTTCCAGCATCTTCATTTTGGTTTCTGCACCTTCATCGCCACTTCCTTCTATCTTTTTTTTTGCTCTTGTTCCCCGCTTGTTTTCTCTACAACATTTCTCCGTCATCGTCACACCCCGACAAAGTGAAGCGGCGTCCAAGTAGCTGCGGCAAGTTTGCGTATTCATCAATTTCTCGGTGCTTAGCATTTGAAAAGCGATTATTCTTTTTTGTCTCCTTTTGAAACGCACCGACGTGATACGACCCACACTTACCGTTACGAAACCATCATTATCATACCTAAGTAGTGTTCTTCCTCTTAAACACAGTAAAAAGTTCCGTTGTATGAATAAAATTAGGCGTCTTCGCTTTTCTGTTTTTCCTTGTGATCTTATTATAGTTGGCTCCAAGCGTTTTTCTTTTCCCCTTTTCCCCTTTATTCTGACTTCTTAATATTTTTTGTGTGGTGTAAATGTCATCTGAGGAAGAGAAACTCACCGCCTTGTACGCGCGACGCCAAGAGATCCTGAAAGATCTCAGTGAGGTGGACTCAAGCATTAAGCAGCTCGAGAGCGATATCCAGTTAAAGGTCTCCGAGGCGGCGAAGCGGACCATTGACGAGAACAAGTCCGGCAATGCTGATCTGGATAAGGTGAATGAGGTGATCGCAAGCTGCGTGCGCGACGCCACAGGGCTGCGTGACGGGCTCAAAGTGGTGGAGGCGTGCCGGTACGTGCAAGACTACGGAAACAAAGACGACGCGGCGCGGCAGAAGATCCCGTTCCGCAACGTCTTTGTGCAGGAGTGCATCCGACACGCGCTGGACTTGTCGAACGACGCGAACGGAAGTGAGCTGATGCAGCACCTCCTCTCGTTGCTGCGTCCCGGGATGAAGTCGGCGGTCATGGGCGACATCGATTACGACCCCACCACCTCCAGCGAGCAAGAGCACTCGGAGGTGCTCCTTCTCATTAATGAGCTCGGTGACGACATCGTGACTGTGGCGTGCAACACAAACGGCGCCCGCGTGTCGCAGCGCATCATCGACGCCCTCTCCACGCCGGAGGAGTTCGACGTCTACACCAGCGTGCTGGCTCCGTCGATCGTCGAGGTAGCGAAGGACATCAACGGAAACCACTCCCTGTCGAAGCTGATCACGTCGTCAAGGTTTTGTCAGCTGGGCGATGAAGAGGCGGACTCTGCGGCAGCCACAGCCGTGTACGAGCGCATATTTCAGAAGATTGCCGACAATTGCATCGACATCTGCAAGAACCGCCAAGGGTGTTGCATCATTCAAAAGTGCCTGCAGCACGCCCCAGAACCGTACCACACCACCATCATCAACACGGTACTCAGCAACTCGCTGAAGTTAGTGCAAGATCCGTTTGGCAACTACGTGGTGCAGTTCATCCTTGATAAGCAGCAGGACATTAATGGGTCCAGGAAGGAAATCGACGACGAGGATGGCGGCTCGTCAGCCCCAAACTACACCAATCAAATTATTAGACAGATGCTCCACCACGTAGCGGAGCTGTCGTGCAACAAGTTTAGCAGCAACGTCATTGAGAAGTGCCTCAAGACGTCCTCATCCGACGTGCGCCAGCTGCTCGTCGATGAGCTGACGGAGCCGCACGTGCTTCCTAAATTACTGACAGACAGCTTCGCCAACTACGTCATTCAAACCGCCATCTCGACCGTGTCGGACGACGGGCAGTTCACACAACTGCGCGATGCCATTATGCCGCTGCAAAGCCTGCTCAAGAACTCGCCCTACGGCGTGAAGATCGAGTCAAAGCTGTCGCGTCGCCATCGCGAGGCGGCTAGGCGGCTGCCGAAGAAAAAGGAGACGACCAGCAGCTCCTCCTCACACCTGCCGCCACCGTCGCAGGAGCCGGCGCTGCCGTCGTACATCCCTCCGCAGGGCATTACGGGGATTCCCATGATGGCGCCGGACGGCTCCATGGGTCAGCCGATGGCGTTTGCTAACATGACGCCGGATATGGCCTCCTTGTTTCAGCAGCAGCAGCAGATGATGGGCATGCCGTTTGTTCTGCAAGGACAGCAAATGATCGGCATCCCAAACGCGCCGCCGCCGCCGTTCACCATGAGTGTCATTAATGGTAGTTCGCTACCCGATTACCGTTAACTGCGTTGGCAAAAGGTTTGAGGGGTGAGAGAGGAGAGAAAATCAAGAAGAAAAAAATGAAGGGGTGCAGTAGCTGTTCTCCCACTTTGTTGCGGCAGAGAAGGACGAAAAACTGATTAACACGGCAAAAACTCGACATTGACTGATAGTGCATAACGTGTTTCTTTAAACCTTTCTCGACCTCTTTTACTTTTTTATTATTCTTCGCCCACTCAAACACACACACATATTACAAAAGGAGCGACGCTGGTTTTGTATTTGCTTTCCCCCCTCCTTTCACCGTCTTTTATTTTTTCCTGTTCGTTTCATTTAGCGTTACTCTTATTGACAGTTTTACAAAAGGTGCTAAAATCATTTTTCGCGTTTCTTAACATCGTTGCGTGTTGTCACCAGCTGGCATGTTTTTTTTCTTGCAGTTGTTCTCTTGCTAGAGATGCGTCTAGTGTCCTGTTGTGCTTTTCTTTTCTTTCCCCTTAATTGTTTTTCTCTTCGTGCCCTTCAACACGATTCATCACCTTTCTTACTCCGTTGCTTGGTGTCTTTGATGCTGCAGGTTTACGCTTCCTTGAAAGCGTTACGTGCTTCTTTCAGTCAAAGAACGGGGCGATTGAGTTCCTCCTTTTCTTTTTCGTTTGCCTGCTACTGATGACAAGAGGAAAATGATACATGTGCTACAACAACAAATAATCAAAACGCTTCCGGCGGCAGGAACAAATGTGCAGCGCAGAAAGTTGTCTCCATGAAAAGAAAAAAACTGGTTTGCGATTTTTTTTTTTACTGTTGGGCGTGTAGACTATCGGCTTATCTAATAATCGAATGCGTGTGATTGTGAGTTGGTTGTTGTGAGAGAAAGGAGACACATGAAACGCAGCAACATCGTTTGTTTGACAGGTGTGTTGCCATGTGAGGACGAGGCATCGAAACAAGCGGCTGGCAAATGGTATCTTTGCCGTTGGTAATTGAAGGTTTTTAAAAACGTGAAGAGGAACGTCGTGTGAGTTCTGCTCTTTTGACTTTTGCTTTGCGTTTTCTCGCTTTAGACGCTCTCGCCAACATTGTTGAGGCCAAAAAGGGGGTTGTGTTGAGTTCCGTTGACTGCTCAGCTGTGAGTGAGACTCTGACGTGCTTTCGTAGAGCATCACAGAAGATTAACTGATTTGGTGCTGTCTCTTTCAGCCGCGTGGTTTTTTCCCTTTCTTTCCATATTCGCTGATAACTGATAGAGTCATTTCTTCTTCTAAAACCAGCAAACAAACACGCATACACACACACACACACACACACTATCAGCAATTTGGAAAGAGAAGTGTTTGCTGTTCATGCAGAGCATTTTTGCGGAACTTTCGAAGGCAAAGGTCACTTGTGGAGCAAAGCAATTTATGCTGACTGACACGGGTCGCAGATCCGTTTTGTGGAAGGTGCTATCATTTCAGGTGTTTACCTGAGAAACAACAGAAATAATAATAAAACTGTTGAACTGGTTTGATTGTAGCAAAGCTATATATTTTTGTTCCAAATCATCAAAGGCGAAGAGCAAGGATGTCAAGGGTCTCGAACGTAGGTGACAGTTTCTCTCTGTCGCCGAACTCCACGTTTTCTTGCTTGAGGCGTTGTAGCTAGCAGCTGTTTGAGTAATTTTATAGGGAAGGCCGATGTTGTGCCCGTTGTGGTCCCGGTTTTCTGTCATGCGTTTTCCATGCGGAGGTTTCGTTCTGTCGGGTTGAACCATCGAGGGAGTGGTGTCGTTGGTTTGCTCCCCTTTCCTGCCATCAATGCGCCTTTTCTCGGTTTTTCTTCCTTTCTTCCCCGGGTTTTATGGGGATGGGGCCTCAATATGCAATCAAACGTTTACAACGGAAAGTGTACGGAATCCTTCTTTTTTTTCTACTATTCGACATTGACACATCCACACGCACGCAAGACACAGCAAGAGGGAGAGAAAGAGACGGGGATAACGCGGACAACATGGGGACAATCACTGTGATCAAGGGTAACATCGTCACCACCTCCAAGGTGCGCTATGGCGGCTGTGTAATCGTCGTGGACGAGACCATCGTGGCGGTGTGTGACAACGCTGCTACGGCGCGGAAAGAAGTGGAGAAGTTTCAAAGAGAGCAGCCCCACCCCGACTCTGTCATGTGGGAGGAGGCCGCGTTTGTGTTGCCAGGCTTCGTAGATATCCACAACCACGGCCTCGGCGGCACTAGCGACGTCATCGGCCACTGGTCGAACCCGGAGTATTCACTCAAGGAGCTGGCACGCTGCGGCACGCTGACGACGCTGGCTTCCATTATTTTCTCCGACACCCACAAGAAACTCGTGAACGAATGCATCGCCGGGATTGAGAAACGCGTGGGGAAGTATGCGGCCGACAACTGCATCCTCGGTGGCATTCACGCGGAGGGCCCCGTCATCAATGACCGCGGCGGCCTACCGGAGTGCAAGACGGAGCTAAACCTCGACAGTTTCAAGGCTCTCGTTGCGACGATGCCGTCACTGCGCGTCATGACGATCTCGCCGCACATCGAGGCACGCTGCAACTACGAGAAGATTCGATATTTACTCCACCGTCGCGTCCGTGTGGCGCTCGGCCATGATCGTGTGGCCACCAAAGCTGAAATCATGGGTGCTCTCAAACTGGCCGTGAAGGAGGAGGATAAACTGCACGTCACGCACCTGTGCAACGTGAGCACCTTCCACCACCGCAAGAGTTCCCTTGTGAACGCCGCGATGTGCAAGCGCTACCCGAACGCCGCGCTCTACAGCGGTGCGCGGCCACCGACTCTGGAGATCATTGGCGACCTCATCCACGTCGACTCCGTGACGCTGCAGTCCGTCTTCGCCTCCCGCGACGTGCAGGACGTTGCAGTCATTACGGACTGCATCTCTGCGCACCTCCCCGGCAAGCACGTGGTGTACAACGGACGCGACAGTGTGGTGCAGGCGGCGGGCGGGTGCTACCTGTGCGACTCGCTTGGCCGCCCCTCCGGCACGTTGGCGGGCGGCACGAGCATGTTGGCGGATCTCTTCTACGCTTTAGTGACGCTGTTTGAGATGGACATCGTAGATGCGTGTCAGCACACCGCCACGGTCCCTGCTCGCATCGCCTACCTGCACGACGTCGGTTCCATCGATACGGGGAAGAAGGCCAACTTGCTTCTCTTCAACACCGACCTAAACCGCATAGAGAAGCGCATGATACACGGCCACTGGACCACACACAAACCTTACAACATTCTTCGTCCCTCTGTCGCACATATGTAAGCACCACACACAGTTACACCTACGGTCAGAGTGCTGTCTGGCGTCAGCCGGAAATAATGGCTACCGGCGCGCCCCTGCCACCAAACACAACTCAGCAACAGCCGGCCAGTGTGTGGTGCGAGGCGGAGTGACCAACAGCGGAATGTCAAACCAGGCAAAGAAACAGACGTTGCTTGCAGCCCATTCATCCAGGCATTTCTCCGCGTTGTAACTCATCGATCGCCCAGCGAGCCACCAAAATCACATCACCCTTATTAAGAAAGAAAAAATGAGGAAAACGGGTAAGCACTGACAAAGCATCTTAACACCAAGAAAAGACATTGAACGGGGCATCGGGTTTTTTATTTGGTATCCACTTTCTTCATTTTTGAAGATTGTTTTTATTTATTATATACACTTCTTCCTGTCCTCGTCGTTTCCCCGCTACTTCCGAACAGGAAGCAAACACACAGTACAAAAACGATACCGTTCGTTTTTATTGTTACTCCGCATTCATCTCTTCCCCCCCCCCAAAAAAAAACGGGTAATGTCGTCTTCTACATTTGTGTCTATTGTTCATGTTTTCATTACCAAGCACAACACGTTTATTTTGTTGAATGTGAAGGCTGCGCTCCGTATTCTTCTCTCAAGTTTTTTATTTCATTGTCGTCACCAGGCGCAATGGGTGTTGCATCTGCAGTTTATTACTGAGACCTTAGCGATCCTGAAAGGGATTTGAAGAGAAGAAGCTGGAAAAATATTTGTGTGTTACTTTCACTGCGCTCGAGTGGGGTCTGCAGTGATGCAGGCTCGTGAAGCTGTAAACGCCAGCATATCGAATTTTCGTCTCAAAACGAGTTGTATGGATCGTCTCCAACTGTTTGCTTCGTTGCAACGCATTTAGCACGTTGCTCATTGTCGCACCCGATGCGCTCAACACACGAGAGCATTTTTACTCTCGGTTAGTTAGGAACGGCTTCACAACATGCACTCATCATTCTTTTTCCCTTCGCCTTTTCACCGATCGAATCTCCAACCCTCACGCGCACGCACACAAGCTGTTTGACGGCAGCTGCATTTTAATCGTGCTCGTTGAACTTACGCGGTGACGCTCATCGAATCCACAATGGGCTGCAAACTGGGTAAGACGAAAGAGCAGCCGCAGAACGTGGTGAGCAAGGAGGCGGACGAGTTCTACATATTAGCAACTACCGAGCGCCATCCCGTGGCGCAGAAGCTGCTAGAGGAATGGGTGCAGTTCGTCGATGCGCAGGCGCGGCGGAACGCGGGTGACCCGACGGCCGCGCAGGCGTACGAGAACCGTCCCAAGGAGGTGTGGGCCGACACGTCCAACAGACCACTCACACACCGTTCCGTAGATTACGTGGGGAAGATGTTCCTCGAGTACATTAAACGTGACCTTTCTCAGCGTGGCTGGGGCGGCAACTTTGATTACAAGGTAGCAGGCGTAGCCAAGCAAGGGTTTTTAAAGGCGAACGCAATTGTGGATGCGGCAAATAGCGATGTTCCCGAGGATGTCACGTGGGAGATCAAGATTCACTACGACAGCTCCGGTGCGTTGTAGAGCAAGATGTACTGGATTTTAGTAGGGTTGTTTGTGGAGGCAGATGCTAAGGGGGATATCAACTGTACAGGTCGGTTTTTGGTTTTGCGAGAGACTGCATGTGCAGAGAAGTGCTAGATAGAGAAGGGTGCCAGACAAGTGAATTGGCACTCAACTGCACGGTCCTCAGTGTCCGTTTCGTCGATTCCCCCGCTTTTATTTTTTTCTCCTCCACGTATAGGTCCGCGTTTCCCGTCGTCGTCGTTTCTCCTTGTGGTATTAATTGTTTTGTTTTCTTTGGATGTTCTCATTTTGTAGCTTCTCGTCACCACAATGAGGTCGACTTTGTGTTACCTGTATGTGGATCTCCCTCGGCATTCTCTTTTTTCTTTACCTCTCGTATTACGACCGTTGTCTTTTACCCAAGAGCTTTTTCTGTGAAGGAACCACAGCGACGGTCGTGGCGCGTTCCTTTGAGGACAAAATAATACTGTTAACGTTTCTTTTTTGTTCTGCCGTCCTTTAGCTTTGCCGCGAAAGTATATTTTCGATCCGTTAAAGAATGAACCGGTAAAGCAATTGGGTGATTAGCGCCGCCTTTCACTATCTTTCGTCAGGAAGCCGCAAATGAAGCTCCTCTAGCTTTCCCTCTTCGATGCCTGCTCGCACGACTTTACTCTCTTTCTCTCTCTCCCTTCTATGCCCCCACTGTCTTTAAACCCATACAAATCAAATACAACTCACAAAAGCTGCCGATAGTCAGTGGGAGTCCGCGCCATGGAGTGACTGGTGGGTTTTTTTTTGGGTGCTTTTGCCCTATAACCAGAGTCGTGTAGGCGGTACCTTCTCGTTCCCGTGGGCAACTTCAAAGCGCTGTAATGTGGTTTTGCTCAATGTCACTACGAGAGCGTCACCATTCATTCACCATCGGAAACGGAGTGCATCTGTCGTCCCTCGAGAAATGGGGTTTCTGCCGCGGGCCGACTCCTTTTCGGCGCGCCGGACGTACACGTTAGTTCCTGGCTGAGCGCTCGACGCGAGTCTCCGCGCCTGCGCGCAGGTGGCAATGCAGTCTCGTGGCTTCTCCGTCCGCCTCAGCGACAGTCGTTGCACCGGTGTGCGAGCTCGAGAACGTTGTCGAAGCACTGTCGCTCTGATGCTCCTTGCCGTAGAGGCCGGCTGTATCGACAACGCGCGACTAATGTTTCACATGCTAAAGCAGAGGCGCTCGTTTTCCTCTCTCGCACCCCTATACAATGTTACTGTATAACAAAAGACAACAAGTCGCGTAAATGAGACGACAGTGGCATGGCAAATTAAGACCACGATAAGGAAAAAAAAAGGAAACGATGCGTGACTTTTGCTTTCTGGTGCTCCGTGAAGTAGGCGTTCCGCGGTGGAGTTCGTGACTGCGCTAGTCATGGCTTCTCTTTACTCCCACCTCTCACTTTCTCTCCCGCTTTCTCTCCTTGTTCAAACGCACTCTTTTATGACGTCATCAAAGATTATCCGCGTTCCACCTACTTCTCCATCCACCAAACTCCCTTTTTTCCCAACAAAAATGGCCAAGGGAAAGCGCTCCGCTGATGCCAAGGGCAGCCAGAAGCGCCAGAAGAAGGTGCTCCGCGACAACATCCGCGGCATCACCCGCGGCTCCATCCGCCGTATGGCCCGCCGTGGTGGAGTGAAGCGCATCTCGAGTGAGATCTACGAGGAGGTGCGCCGCGTGCTGAAGGCCTACGTCGAGGACGTCGTGCGCTCCAGCACCGCGTACACCGAGTATGCACGCAAGAAGACGGTGACGGCGTCGGACGTCGTGAACGCGCTGCGCAAGCGCGGCCACATCCTGTACGGCTACGCGTAAACGGAGCCTGTCGTCAAGCGTGGCACGCACCCTGCTGCCCAGCACATCCCCTATAGATTCTTCTTTTTCCCTTCATTTTTTTACTTGTTTCCACTGCCTTCCTGACCTTCTACCCTGAGGAGAGACGATAGAGAGAGAGAGAAAAAGCAAAGCCCCAAAGCGTGTTATATCGAAGTGGCGTGACCGAGAGTGCGGATAAAGTACTGTTGGTACTGCACAGTGTAAAAGAGAAAAAAGGACAGCGCCATTTTCTTCTGCAAGGTGCGATCGGTACCACAACAACTGTGCGATCACTTGTTGCATAAAGCACTGCCCCCCTCCCGTGGAGGCGCTGCACCGCTGTCCCTCTTCCGCCTTCTCTATCTCCCTTCTTTGCCTTTTTTTTGTGCACGCGCTTCCGCATTTTATCCTGACCCCTTTATCAATTGTAATTCTGCAAGACGTTCATCAAAGTGTCGCACCGGCAATCACATAAGCACGCTGACCTACAGACAGATAAACACGTACTGTTTTGTTCGCTTAACCATTTCCCGCCACTTACGATGCTCGCAAAAGAGAAGAGTATTGATGTTGACGCGAGCTCACGGTGCTCAAACACCACATCGATGAAGCTCTCAACGAAAACACCACCGACAGAAATTGACAAAACCGCGGCAGTTCTCTCGGGCACGGTCCTCAGCTCACAGATTGACAACGACAATCCTTTGAGCGCTCCATTTCCATATTAATCGTTACCTCAGGAACACCCTGTGCCCCATAGCGGGTACGTGATCGCTTCGCTCGCGCTCACCGCCATCGCTGCCCTCCTCTCTCTTGGATCCATCGTCGTTGCCGCCGTTGTGATCAGCCGCGAAACGAAAGATGAGTCAGCTGACAATGACACCTGGCTTGTCGGCGGGGTGTATGTTATCTTCTACGCCATCACCGCCGCGGAGAGTGGCCTCTGTTTGATTGCCATGACGGCGTGCTTTGGTCTTGTGCTCAACCACAAAACACATCGTTTCCTCATTCGCAACCCGACAAATCGCGCCTTTGTCTGCCTCTGCGCTGCCGTTTTTCTGCTCTTTGTTTTCTGTGTGTAGACCATCGTGATACATATTCTGTGCGCCGATTGGGATCCCAAACGTGTGCCGTCTGCCGGCCTGTGCACCATACCCTGCGTCCGAGCAGTTGCCTTGCTGTCTTTCTTCGCCGTGCTGGTCGCCAACTCAAAGGTGAGCCCGCGTGATCCTCTGATGTAGACATCTAATGCGCTTCATTTCCCCTGGTTTCGTTGTGACTGTTACAAACAAAAGCACATACCTACTGTGGAAAGCTCTTTGTTTTTAACGGGTTTCTTTCTCTAACGGCTACCTACGTCCACTTTTTGATTCCTTCTTCATGTTCCACTATTACTTGTTACGCTTTTTAAGATAATCGATAAACTGCAATGCATCCCGTGCCCTACTGTGGAGTCGAACATAGATCGTCTTCCTTTTGTTTTCTCCTTGCTGTACCGTATGCTGTATTTCTGCCTTCTATAAGTGCAGGCATTTCTCAAAACTTTCTTTCCGTTGTTCACCTTGCCGGCGCTTTGCGGGTAAAGCGATGTAAGCGTTTGTGTAGTTGAGCAGGCTTATCTCATCGCCGTGCTGGTACGGACGCAAAAACGAAGCTTCGGTTTTTTTTTTGTAAACATGGATGCTCCTCTGATTGTCAGCATAATACGTTTGTTTTTGATTAATAAAGTTTTTTGACATGAATCCAAAAAACAAAATGCACAGAAAGTCTTGGAGTGTTGAAAGGCGGAATAAGGTCACACGACGTACTCTCACAAGTACGAATACACCGCAGCAAGATCCTATTACAAGCAAACGGTGTCGTGTGGTAACTTCCCATTTGCAATGCTCGTGCGTGTAAGGGACAGAGGTTGGTGCTGTGGAATTCCTGGTAATGTCATCTTTCACGTCATTCTGCTTTCTGCACTGTTGTCTCCCCACTCTTCTCTCGTCCAATCTTGGCCTCTTTTCGTCTTGCCTTACGTGCATGTCGCCCTTACAGCAAAAACTACCTTCAAGAGTGCTGAGATCGCAGGTGAAGGACGTAGCGCACGGTATTGTCTCTTAGACGGCATTAAAGCTGAACACTTTGTGTTCCCAGGTGCTTCCACCGAGGCGGGTGCTTCGTCGAAAAGGAATGAAGTGAGGCAGCGCTTTGAACCCACAGATGCGCCGTAGTTGTCACCTACAACGGTAACGCTGTCCTTTCTTTGCCGCGTTAGCAGGCAACGGATTAGAGCCATACGATCATCGAGCAACTCTGCTCTCCTGGTACTGTGAGTTATTATAGTCCCAGTTGCTGAGAGCTGCCTAGCGGGGAAAGTGTGGTGCCACAAAAGGGGATAGTAGATGAAAAGAAAAGCGGACTCCTGCGCATTGATGTGCTTTGCGTTAGAAAGCGGTGGAAACCAGACAGAAGTGACTCGAGCATGCCGAGTGCAGCGTCGCCGTTGTATCACAGCTCTATCCTTTCTATATTACTTGGTAGTGGATTGTCCCTGCTGCACTTTAAGCTCTGCTTTGCAAAACACAACGCTTGATTGGTTGAGTGAAGCACCGTTTGTTGCAGCGTTGCCAAATCCTCCTCCATGTAGCAATAGAGAAGGCCAGAACGGTTGATTATCCGAGACTTGAAATCTTAAAGAGCGAAATACACATCTGAAGTGAGGTATTTGATACGGAGAGAGAACGAGGTGACGATAATTTATAGCAGGCATTTGCGCTCAAAGAGGAGGGAAGCGGAAGAAATACAAGACGTACGGGACCACACAAGAGAAGAACGACTAAATATAGCTGTAAAAGGAAAGAAGATGCGATTGAAAAACGGAGTGGAAAGAGGGAGAAGAAATTGAGATAAAGGCACGAAAACAAGAGAAATTAAAGCAGACACGACAATGATTCTGACTGCCGAGAACGCCAAGTGTCTCCCGCAAAGCAGGTGCACCGCCAAGGTGTCCTCTATCTTTCAAGCATTGTCGTGAAGCATGAGATCGTCGGAGCGCTGACGAACCACCTCATCTCGCCCAAGAACCCCTTCGTCGAGGTGATTGCACCGGCGCCGTGGAAGAGGCAGAGGGCGTGGCCGTGGTGGTGTGTGGCGGGCTCTTCGGGTGCCGGACGCGACGCTGTCTACCACTGCGGCACCACTCCACCGTGGCGAGGGGCCAAAGAACGTGCGGCAGCTGCCCACCAAGAAGAAGCAACTGCAGCAGCAACGGCGGCTTCCTGCTGAACGGCGGAGTGCTGCAACGCCTCGCGCTCAACCGTCCGCACACCGCGCCAGCTCTAACGTGATGAGCCCACCGCTTCCTCAACGCTCGCACGGCAACAAGCAATGGAGACGAGCAGGGGCGAAGAAGCGGTATGAAAGGGAGCTGACTCTTGCCGGGAGTTTCTTGAGAGACAGGCGGCCGCCACCACGATAGCGGAGGTGAACAGAGCACCAGCGCGAAAGAGAGGCATGGTACGACGAGGGCTGCGACAGTTGCGGCGATGTCTGTGCCAGATGTGGTGGTGGTCGACTCGAGGGCCTGGCCACGCCGAACACAACACGGCCCTCTGCACGGCATGAGAGCCGGACCCTTTACTGAGCGAGCAGGCACGCGAGCAACGTGTACAGGGGAGTAGTGGTCCATCTGTGAGCTGTTACCTTGCTGGAGACGTGTGACGATGGCGATTCCCACGGCTTAGGGGTAGCCGCTCTGGGACTGCTGCGAGTGCGGCCCAAACTGGGGAATCTGCCGCTATGCACCGTGCGGGGGACGCTAACACTGCTCCGTCTGGTGCGTGTGTGTGGCCTGACGGTGAGTGGCTGCGTGTGGTGTATGACTGGACGGGTGTGCTGTGGGGTGAGCGTGCTATAGAGGGCTCTCTGCCATTGGGTGTGTGGGGCTGTAAGAGACGGAGGGGGCAACATAGCGTATGTACATGGAAGTGTGGCGTGCACAACCTGCCGTCTTGTGCTGTTGGCGTTGGTGTTGGGGCTGCTGTGGTGTAGGAAAGGGCGGGGTTAGGGTT